GGGTCATTTTTATTTTCTTGTGAGCTTTGGTAAATTTTGTTAAATTTTAGCAAAAATATATTGCTGTTAATTTTTTGATTTATTTTTGCATTTTCATCTTTTGAACCTAGTTTGGGGGTTCCACATTTGCTCATAGCTGAGAACCTAACAGATGCTATCACCCTGGAATAGGGTGGTCTTGGAAACAACAATAATTATGAAGTGGTTCCATGCTCATCAAAACCTCCAGATCAGAGGCCTTGCTGTCGGATGTAGTTTATCGTTATAACCAAGACGCCAGACTAAGCAAACTTCAGTGACTACAAGGTCCCTTATCATAGAACTATGGTTAAAGAGCTAATCTCTCAAAATCTTGAGTTCAATCACAAGGGCCTCTACTCAAAACATGCGTACCGATCATTGCACAGTTGTCTTGGATCTAGTTTGATAGACCGTTCACTAATTCGATCCTCACTAAGTGCCTCATTGTTTTAGATTCAGACCGCATCTTTCTCAAATGAGCAGTTTTAAATGTTTACCAAAAAAGCAAGCGGTCCAGTGTTACCCAGGCCTCTTAATATATCCTTTCTTTTGAATAACTCCAGGTGCTTTTCGGTCTGGGCTGATTGAAGGAAAATTGGAAGACGCTATCATAACTTGACAACAGGTTTAGGAAGATTTATCCCTGGGTTTTACACTCATTGCCTTTCCTAGAATAAATATATTATATATGGCCCATCATTATATATAAATAATAATTATAAATTCTTGATTAACTGAATGGGTGCTTTTCGGTACGTACTGGCTGAGGGAAAATTGAAAGAGTTTATCGGACCATGACACCAAGATTAGAATGATTTTTTTTCATCCCCCGTGGGTCTGCTCTCGAAGCCCTCCCTAGGATTGCCTATGGTTGCAAAGCAATGAAGGTTTGAAATCCTACTTTTATTACTCTGCCTAGGCAAATTAGTTCCATTGATCAGATTTACCGTATTTACCTTTGGATAAAATGCACCTTCACTTAAGACGCCCAACCAAGGATATAGTTTGGGAAAAATTAGTATGTTTAATTATCCATTTATTGAAGTATATTTTTAAAAAGTTTTATAGGCGATACTGTGTGATTTTGTGCAAGCAAATACAATATTGTAACAGGAGAAAGTAAGAAATCCTATTAAAAACGCTTACACCACAATATAGCAGACCTAAGATATTATTCTTATTTTTATGAACCTACTCTTCGATGCTTGCTTAAGGCATGTGGAAAGAGAGCGTTTGAAGATTTCACTTCTGTAGATTGCCATTTTTTATGGTGGACTGGTTATCAGCCATGGTTATAAAACCCAGTGTGTTCTGGCAGCAGAAGAGATGGATTCATACCTTTCCAAAGGATATTTGATTTGAAATCATATATTGTAACTTTAACATTCTCTAAAGCATAAAATAAACACTAGTATATGTGTATTAATGAGTACTGATACCATATAAACAAAGCAATGATTAAAGTGCATTTAAATGTGACTGAATTCTTATAGATAATTACAGTACATGCAGACTAATCAGAATGCTGCGTGTCTCCTGAAAAATTGACATCAATTAAAATCTGAATATCTGAGTAACTACATGTCTCAAGCAAAGGATATTAAATAGGCTTCATGTTGAACAATAAAAGATTTATTTATCCAAATTCGAACAAGACATTCAAAAGGATGTATATTTTATGACCGATTCCACAACGCTTCACATATGTTCAACATGCGCACAACCACTTACACGACACACGTCAAGTCGGTAGTCCAGCTCCTGCCAAACACGCTGTAGCATGTCTTGCGTAACATTCTCCTTCGCCCCAGTGATTCTCTGCTTAAGTTGTTCTAGGCTTATAGGAAGAGAGGGGATATAGACCTGTCCTTTCACATAGCTCCACAGAAAAAAAAATCACAAGGTATCAAGTCAGGTGGATGTGGTGGCCATTTCAACAGCGCCTGGTCATTGTCACTGGCACGCCCGATTCATGTTTATCGCAGATTCTCATTGAGATAAGTATGCACAGTCAACTTAGATTTTACACATTTTGTTAAAATTTGATATCATTTGAACGAGAATTGGCTACGTTATTAGACTACAAAATGATGTCAATTTTAAGGAGATGCCCTGTATTTCAGCGAAAATTACTTGTTGTATACTCGGTCGCCTACCATTCGTAATGTGGTTGTATTAGGCGCAGGTCTTTCTTTCTTTTTTTTTTTTTTTTTGTACATTTACAAGAAAAGAAAATAACGTGTCTTATGCGAAGGTAAATACGATAAGCTTACGCCCCCCCCCGTATTGTCTGGTGGCCTTCCATCTAAGTATTGACGACATACATCGTTGCTTCACTTTACGGATCGGATGAGAACCAGGTTTGTTCGACGTGATATTGCCGTTACTGAGTTTAGTCTGAAACAAGCTCCCACTTTGGATAAAATTTAAGATATAATTGTATTATCTGCTAGAGCTGCTCACTAACATTTCTAAACAATAAGGAATCTATCTATCTATCTATCTATCTATCTATCTATCTATCTATCTATCTATCTATCTATGCCAGTCTGCTTATATCGATCTATCTACATATCTATGTGTGTAAAAATATACGCCTATTAATTTATGTATATATTGTGAAGTACTAAAACGTTTTCGGCCAAACTAAGAAGGATGACCTGGAATTATGAAACGTCTGTGATATTTCACATATTGAATAGATAGATAGATAGATAGATAGATAGATAGATAGATAGATAGATACGCGATTTAAAAACGCACCACTTCTCTCTACTTACCCTGATGATGACTTAAGAAAGTCGAAAGTTTGAACCATATTTCCTCCGGAATGAGCTTTGACAGTATGTCCTCTTTATCTGAAAAGAATTATTTGTAATTTGGAAAAGTCAGTCAATAAAATCAAACGACACAAAATGTCTGTTGTCTTTAACAAACATTGCCTGATAGATAGATAGATAGATAGATAGATAGATAGATAGATAGATAGATAGATAGATAGATAGATAGATCAAAAGAAGTGGGTACAAATTAAATAGTAAACGCTCTGTTTCTAAGCTTACGTGCTTGAAGTAATGATTACAGCTGAGAACCTACCGTTTCCATCTTTAGGGTCAGTTCCATAGAGCCTGCTTTCTCTTTTTAAGATGATTGTTATTGTGGATTGTGCTAAGAATAATGGCTCTGCACACGGTATTTGAGCGAGAAAGAGAATGGTTAATTTCATTTGTGCTTTTTAGGAGAAAAGAAATCCGTCCCGAAGGAAGTTTGACGTGGACGACCAAACGACACTCTCGTCGGATAATGATACAAGGCCCAGCTTAAAGTTTCATTAATTCAAGTGTTTGCTTTCGAATTACTAAACAAATCGGATTCGGTGAATTTTTCCAAGAAATGCCACAAGAAGCGTTTCTCTGTTCTTGTGATTAATGAGGTGCCAATTTGGAATCCTTTTTAATTTTTTTTTCTCCTTTATTCGTTTTGCCCATTCCTTCCAGGAAACGATCACGGACAATAGAAAAAGGCGGGAAAAATCTCCCGCATTTATTTCGTCCCCGGGGGACTGGGTAAAAATGAAAGAATTCTAGAGTCCGATCTGATAAGACGTTGCATAATTTTAGTCTTTCTTTTACAGAATAGGAAGAAAGTATGTATGTAGGTTTGTTTGCGTGTATATATGTCTTACTAGCTCCTGCCAATCTGTTTAAATCTGTCTCACTAGAGAGTGGGAGAGACAGAGAGTGAGAGAGGTTCAGTTAAGCTGAGATGGAAAAGAGAAAGAAAGGGAGAGAAAGATTGCGATAGATAGATAGATAGATAGATAGATAGATAGATAGATAGAAGTGAATAGACTAATAGATAGATAATAGATAGATAGATAGATAGATAGATAGATAGTTCTATCTATATATCTATCTATAGCGAAGAATAACTGTTAGCACTAAAGATTACAGTAACATCTAGCAATGTAAAATAGAGTTTACTATTTAATTTGTTCACTTTATTTAGATATCTCTGCCCACCTATTTATCTATCTATCTATCTATCTATCTATCTATCTATCTATCTATCTATCTATCTATCTATATAGATATATAGATAGATAGATAGATAGCGAAAAGCAACCTGATAACAGAAAGCTTACGGTAACATCTAGCAATGTCAAATACGTAGTTTTCTATTTAATTTGTTCACCTCATTTAGATCTCTCTGACCACCTATCTATCTATCTATCTATCTATCTATCTATTGGTTTAATAAGAAAATTTCTGAACCTTTGAGTAGTCAATGATGCTGTCTCTTCCACAGTGAAATACAGAACATATTTTTCATTTATATCGATTTTTTTTCACAGGTTTTGGTCAAATACGGACGAAATTTGTGAACAACGACGAAGTTCTAGAGAAAAAGAAGACAAAAAAGAAAATTTATACTTGAAACCAGGAAAATTCAGTTGAAATTTCTAAGACATAAAATGAGGAAAGAGGGCTTAGAAAATCCGATACTCGTAGGCGGGAATGGCGGCTTTGAAGGACAGAGGAAAACCTCGCATACCCAACTTCGTGAGCTTGAGTAAATGGGTGGCGGAACATAGTTTATGAGAAAGGACATAATTTATTATGAGTTACGAAGGACAGGAAATTGTGAAGAGCCATGATCGCCAACGTTCTAAAGGCACATAATGAAGAAGAACCTGGTGAAGTTTTGTCAGCCATAACGAAGCCTGTAGAAGCAGTCCAACACAATTTCATAAAATAACTCATACAACATGTGTACTTAGCACGAAGCAGACGAACATGGTTCGGTCGCAATGATCTGTTCAACGGGATCGTTCGAGAACATTCGAATACAATTTCTTTTTTGAATTTCTTTGGGGAACGTTACTCAAACTTTTGTTCTGTGACATTTAATATCGCAGCTATCATGGCAGAAATCTTTGCAGTTTCATTTTTAAGTGCCGGGTTAGTGAGATCACTTGAATGACTCAAAGCGCCGCCTTACTGACGCCAATTGCCATAGAGTTCTTAAGAAACGATGTTTTTCGGTATCATGGGACAATTACCTACGCCGTACCTACAAAAGTCCCCGGTTTAATAAAATACACTTGTTTAGGAGCAAGAAATGTTCTTTTATTTGTTGATATATTTTTTTTTTTTTTTTTTTTTTTTTTTTTTAACATCTGTTTGCCAGTGAACTTCCTCTCGCCGAGTCGGTGTCAACCAGGCAGACCCGACCGCCTCAGAAGCAAGCCTTAACTTCCACCTGTCTCCATCCTTCACTTGCAAAGGCTTCACTGAGTCAGATCAAGTCAGAGATCAAATGATATGCGTTGATAATATCCTGTTGAGTCCGCATCTCGTCAGAAAAGAAAAAAAGAAAAAGAAAAGACCCAGATGTCGCTCGAAGGAAGAAATATTAGTCATTTTATAATTAGCTACAGGCTGGAGGACATAATCAAAAGTAGATTCTGTCGGTTTCCGTTATTATTATGATACGTTTACGTCTTTCTCCGACATCCGAACCTGCTCGATATTACGAGGATACGTTTATTGCTTTTCCTGACATCCGAACCTGCTCGATATTATGATGATATGTTTATTGGTTTCCCCGACATTCTAACCTGTTAGGTGTTATTAAGCTACTATTGTCTCTCCGACATCCGAACATGTTCAATGTTGTCATTTCTTTCCCTGACATCCGAACCGACTAAATGTTGTTAGGATACTATTCCTTTCCTCGATATCCGAACATGCTCGATATTATTAGGATACGTTTATTTTCTTCCCCGATATCGAACCTGATTAATGTTGTCAGGATACGTTCACTGTTATTAGGATCCCTATATTTCTTTCCCCGATATCCGAACTTACTCGGAGTTATGATATTTGCTTTTCCAGATATCCGAACATGATCAATGGTGTTAGGATACGATTATTCATTTCCTCGACATCCGAATCTGCTTGTTGTTATTAGGATACGTTTTTTTGGCTGGCTTTCGATCTGTTAGATATTGTTAGGATGTATATTTCCTTTTCCCCGACATTCTAACTTGCTAGATATTACGCCGATAAGGTTTATTTTTTAACTCGACATCCGAACATGCTCAATGATATTAGGATTGACAAATTCGACATCTTGAACTTTATAATGGCTTCAGTGTATGTGTCATCACTGTTTTCATTCTAGAGCATAATTTCTGTTTTGGGAAAGTTTATCTTGAGTCCCGTTACTTGACATACTTAATAGAGAATATCGATCTTCTGTTCAAGGTCATTCTTATACCAACTATGACTTTTTTTCTTTTTATGTGCCATGTCCTTTCAGGACGTAGGCGATCATGGCTCTCCACCTCCTTCTATCCCTTGCAGCTCTCAACAAGTTCCTTCTCTCTGCTTCCTCCCCCAGACCACGTTCTGTCATCCACTTGCTTAATGTATCTTTCTTCTTTTTATGTGACATATCCTTTCAGGACGTAGGTGATCATGGCTCTCCACCACCCTCTATCCCTTGCAGCTCTCAACAAGTTCCTTCCCTCTGCTTCCTCCCCCAGACCACGTTCTGTCATTCACTTGCTTAATGTATCTTTTTCTTCTTTTTATGTGCCATATCCTTTTTCAGGACTCAGGCGATCATGGCTCTCCACCTCCCTCTATCCCTTGCAGCTCTCAACAAGTTCCTTCCCTCTGTTTCCTCCCCAGACCACGTTCTGTCATCCACTTCTTTTTAATGTATCTTTCTTCTTTTTATGTGACATATCCTTTCAGGACGTAAACGATCATGGCTCTCCACCACCCTCTATCCCTTGCAGCTCTCAACAAGTTCCTTCCCTCTGTTTCCTCCCCCAGACCACGTTCTATCATCCACTTGCTTAATGTATCTTTCTTCTTTTATGTGACATATCCTTTCAGGACGTAGGCGATCATGGCTCTCCACCTCCCTCTATCCCTTGCAGCTCTCAACAAGTTCCTTCCCTCTGCTTCCTCCCCAGACCACGTTCTGTCATCCACTTTCTTAATGTATCTTTCTTCTTTTTTTCCTTTGACATATCCTTTCAGGACGTAAACGATCATGGCTCTCTTCCACCCCCCTCTATCCATTTGCAGCTTCTCAACAAGTTCCTTCCTCTCCTTTCCTCCCCAAGACCACCTTCTGTCATCCACTTGCTTAATGTATCATTCTTCTTTTTATGTGACATATCCTTTCAGGACGTAGGCGATCATGGCTCTCCACCTCCCTCTATCCCTTACAGCTCTCAACAAGTTCCTTCCCTCTGCTTCCTCCCCCAGACCAGGTTCTGTCATCCACTTGTTTTTAATGTATCTTTTTTCTTTTATGTGCCATATCCTTTCAGGACTTGGACGAACATGGCTCTTTACCTCCCTCTATCCCTTGCAGCTCTCAACAAGTTCCTTCCCTCTGTTTCCTCCCCCAGACCAGGTTCTGTCATCCACTTGCTTAATGTATCTTTCTTCTTTTTATGTGCCATATCCTTTCAGGACTTGGGCGATCATGGCTCTTTACCTCCCTCTATCCCTTGCAGCTCTCAACAAGTTCCTTCCCTCTGTTTCCTCCCCCAGACCACGTTCTGTCATTCACTTGCTTAATGTATCTTTCTTCTTTTTATGTGCCATATCCTTTCAGGACTCAGGCGATCATGGCTCTCCACCTCCCTCTATCCCTTGCAGCTCTCAACAAGTTCCTTCCCTCTGTTTCCTCCCCCAGACCACGTTCTGTCATCCACCTGATCAAACTTGCCAGGCATGTCACGCGCTGCTTTCCCGTATCTCTCTTTCCCTCTATTCGCCGTAAGGTTGCTTCTCTGTGTCTTTTCTATAACTATATTCATGGTCATTGTTCGGATGAGTTCGTCACTACTGTGCCTAGACTTTTGAATTTAAACGCACTATTGGGCTGGCGTCAAGATCTCATCATCTTCTACCTGGACTGGCTAGATGTAACCGTAAATTCTATGTTAACCGTTTCTTTTCTCGCACTTCTCGCTTGTCGAAACCCTTCATGGCTCCATGCATTCCAGACAACTTTAATATGCAATGTCGATAGCTATCTATTGTCCTCCTGATTACACTTTCTTCTTCCCGCTCATTATTAATGTTTATGTTCTTAATTCTTCCACGTCCTGTAACCACTTGTGTCTTAGTGGCTTTACTGCCTTGTATAGGGTGGCACCGATCAAAAATACATTTGAAGATTCTTCATAAAATTCAAAAGAGATCTTGCAATATTATCGGTCTTGCATCTCGGCTTCAGTCACTTTCCCTCCGCCTTAATGTAGCTTCCCTGTGCGGTTTCTACAAAAATGTTCCTAGTAATTGTTGTGGTGAGCTTTCCTCTATGCTATCTGGATTTTATGAATTTAAGCGCAGTACTAGGTTGGCGGAAAGGTCTCATCATTTTACAGTGGAAATTTCTAGATATAACCGTAAGTTCTATGCTAACAATTTTTTTCAACGAACTTCTCGCTTGTGAAACTCTTACACTCTCTTGCTTTCCAGTTAAATTTGATCATCAAATATTTAAATTTTCTTCTATCTTTTAATTCTTGTTATTTTATTGCTTTCCCTTCTGAATAATGCTTTATCTTTTTCACACACTCAGTAGCCATTTGCGACTTAAGGCTTTATCGCCTTTTTTGGAATTAAAGCTTTTATTTCAAAAAAAATAATAAGGCAAAAAAATTTTGAATGTAAATTAATTTCAAACTTCCTTCCCTCCTGGCGCGTACAAAATATTTCCTTTTAAAAAAAAAAACTATTATATTATAATACAAGTGTTATAACGTGGCAAACCTGAGAATAATGCCAACAACAAAAACAAAATAATTGATAAAAAGCTGGATGAGAACGACTCAGTCATCAGAATTCAAATTTAAATGTTGACCGCCTCTTCTGCTTTAAGTCTTGGCGTTTTACTTGTCATATTATACCTGTGTACCAATTCATTTTATTCTTATTGTATCTAATCAAATCTATCATATCTATGTATCTATCTAGTCATGAATATGTTCATATTTCTTTTCGTTTCTATCTATCTTTTTATATCAGCCTGTTCATATCTATCTGTCTATCAATCTATATATATATATATATATATATATATATATATATATCACTCTCTCTCTCTCTCTACCTATTTCTTTTCGTTTTATCTATCTCATTATCTCTCCTATTCATATCTATCTATATATATATATATATATATATATATATATATCTCTTCTCTCCATATATATATATATATATATATATATATATATATATATATATATATATATATAATATTCAGTCTATTCATATCTATTTATTTATTTCAGTCTGTTCATATCTTTCTATTCTATCGATTCAGTCTATTTCATATCTATTTATTTATATATCTATCTATTTATCAATCTAACCTTCAGTTTGTTCATATCTATCTTTCTATATATCACCATCCATATCTATCTATCTATCTGTACTTCAGTTTGTGCATATCTATCTATCTATACTTCAGTCTGTTCATATCTATCTATCTATCTATCTATCTATCTATCTATCTATCTATCTGTACTTGTCTCTTCATATCTATGTATGTATGTATGTATGTATGTATGTATCTATCTATCTATCTATCTATCTATCTGTATCCTTCAGTCTATTCATATATATTTTTATCCTATTATCTCCAAGAAAATACCCGTAAGGGAATTGGTGCTGACCTTCAGTTACTTTCCCACTGCACTTTTCTACAAATATTTTCATGACAATTGTTCTGATAAGCTTTCTCCCTTGATGCTTCAACTGCATGAATGCAAGCTTGCTACTAGATTGGCAACGAGGTACAGTGTAACCCGGATATAAGAGACCCGGATATAAGAGAAACCCGGATATAAGAGAAACCCGGATATAAGAGAGATTTTCTCTCGTCCCAAATTAGAGCCTATGTTAATGTATATAAAATAGACCAAACCCGGACATAAGAGAAACCCGGATATAAGAGACTTCTTCTCCGGTCCCGACAACTCTCTTATATCCGGGTTACACTGTATTACCATTTTAATATTAAATTAGCTAGATGCAACCGTAAGTTCTATTCTAATAGTTTCTTTTATCGCAATTGTCGCCTTTGGAAATCTCTTCCGGTTTCTTGGTTCTTTGCCACCTAAAATCTTCAAAAATGTTAAATGTAATGCCAATCACCATCTTCTGTCTTCCTGAACCCTGTTCTTTTATTGTTTTTTTTTTTTTTTTTACTAAAGTTTTCTCATTCTCTTTGACTCCTTACGTCTTAGCGGCATTATCGCCTTGCTTGGGATAAAAAGTTTAATGAAAAAAAGTATATCTGGCTGCTTGCCTGCCTCAATCTTCTTATTCAGGTTTATCTATCATTGATCCTATACATCAATGTTTATTTGTTTCGTCCTCATTCTTTTTATTTTTATTCCTATATTGTTTTCATTTGCCATCTTTCATTCCGCTTTTTATCTTCTTCATCAGATTCGTCATTCATTCGTTTCTCTCCCTTCAAACAAATGACATCATTTCATTTTTCTCTCTTTCTTTCCCGTTGCTCATTTTCCCGCTACATTTTTATTTCCATATATATTTTTTTTGTTTTTGTTTTTGCTTTCTACCTTCCCTTCAATCTTTCACCTTTCTCTTTTCCCTCTTTTCATCCCTATATGACCAAAAAATAATTACCCGCCCTGTAATGGCGATTTGACCTATATATGACCTTTCCAACTTTACACCAAGTTGCTGATCGCAAACCTCAACATCAAAGACACTTTGCCTCCGGATTTTTCTGTGCCAAGAAAGCAGAATATTCCGTCGTATATTACAAGTAAATTACCGAGTCATTTTAAAGTTTGATCTCTGAGTCAGGGGTTAGGTTTAGGGTTAGGGCCAGGAAGTGTACATTATTTCTCTTGTGATGGACAAAATATTCCTAGCTGTGTATGTCAGCTCCATTTGTCGCCTTCTTTTAGGGGTAAATCAATTTGAATGTTCTGATTTTCGCTCAACTTAATGTTCCGAAAAATCATCCCATTCACATTTGACTCAGGCTCTGTGATCTTCTTCTCTGTATTCTATTTATCTATAACAATATATTATGTGTGAACGTATGGGATTTACATATATATTTACATTTATATATATATATATATATATATATATATATATATATATATGTGTGTGTGTGTATGTCGAGAGAGAGAGACAGAAAGCGGAATAAATAAGGATAGACACTGAAGGAAAGAGAGAACTAGTGTATGATGTAAACGGTAATAGAATGAGAAATACTAACAGAAGAAATACAATTAAGAAGCTTAGATAGATAGATAGATAGATAGATAGATAGATAGATAGATAATGAAAAGACTAGATAGATAGATAGATAGATAGATAGATAGATAGATAGATAGATAGATAAAACCTATTACCGCTTTTCTTGAATTGGTCCGAACTGAACAAGTATGCCTTCAGTTCGCAAAATGACACTCGGAAAGAAGGTGACTTCTGCCGCTTAAACAAAATCACAAAAGTCTTCACCACAAAACTGACTTTTCCAATCGAATGGAAGATTCCCAAGACGTGCTACTTGAGTCAAGCAAAACAAATTAACCCGATGTCATAAAATAAGAATAAAAAAGCAATCAGAAGGGGAAAAACGCAAACAAATATTGTTTTAAACTCAAATTAGCCAAAACCAATATAGAATTTAGCTGCGATCGATAACCTTTCGTCAGACGACCGGAGTAGCCATATCAAGATTTAACACAGAATTTTGTTGAAAATTCGTTTCTCCCAGTGGATAATTTCAGGTTTAAAACCCAGGATTTTATACAAAAATCGACATATCCTTGTACGATAATTTCTTTCTGTAATTCCAGAGTTATTTTGGTTTCAAGCAGAAAGGTAAAAATCTCAAATATAGTAGCCGAGCCTAATGTTAATATTAATATTTTTCAACAAGTTTGCCTTTTACTAATGCTTAGATGAATTTGATCCGCGTCAAAATTTTCAGATTAAAAAAGTTCGTTGCAAACAAATAAAGTGTTGAATTGCCAGGTACTAGCACTGCTCACCTTGTTAATATCGAACAATTCCCTCAAAGATGAAGTGTGGGGTGGGCAGAGATATGTTTTTTGTTGTTTTTGTTTAATAATACCATGAACAAAACTTAATAGTGTTGTAACCAAGTTAATGGTTAAGAAATAACAGAGCCAGTGGTTGCAGATAAACCATATATTGAAGAGAAGAGTATTACACGACTTGGGAGTGTGTGTAGTTTGGCCAGCGTTCAATCTATACTACCGTTCCCCCGAGGCTTACTAATTTTATAAGTGGAACAGTCTGTGGAAGATTCTACCTTTGCCAGTTACACCCCATTGGAAAATGCACTCTTCCTCTATGGTAATTACCACCACATTACATAAACACAGTACATAGACAAGCATTCATTGGTTAATCTACTCAAAACTAACTCGCTGATTGGTCAGTTCCGACCAATCAGATATCCTGCACGCGAGAAATGAAATTTCCAGCGTTTTCGATCTGAGCCTCCCACGTGATACACAGACATATATAAACAAAACATGTGTAAGGCCCCGCGCGTTTCTCTCCATTCATCTTTCTCCTTGCTGCCAAGATGTAGACTTCAAGAGCGCCCGTCTTACCTATGCAGTCAGACGTTAAAGACCATTTCCAACACTCACGCAAGTCAGACTTTTCCTTTCTTAGAGAGATGCCAAACTGACCCACGCAAGTCAAAACTCTGACCAACCAGGACTTTGCCGCGCAAAATATCTCTGACTCAACAATCCACAAGCACACTCTATCTCTCTCAGGAGCGCTATCTAAACATCACTTTAAAAAGTGACATTTTTCTCACTACTTAATAAGTATTAGTAAACAAACAATCAAATTCTCACACAACTTAAGATACGCAACTCCTACCAATTCTGAACAATAATACAAACAAACTTACATACACACATTAATAACTGAACTAGCACAAAGGACAATTTCGTACGTAACTGGACACTTAGTTTAATTTTGTGAACAAATCTGAATAGCATTTGCAAAGACTTTCAAACATTCCCAATAATATTCTACGCAGCCAAATACATCTCTTCTCATTTATCCATCAAAGTTCAACTCAATTGTATTCTTGAATTGTATATAAACCAATTTTATTGTTGTACATTTAATGTTTGTCTTTGCTTTCAACCTTCTTACATGATTTGTTTCTAATATTTTTCTTTAATTGCTGTGGATGAATGTTTTAGAACACCAACACTAAAACTCCTTCTGATCAGTCAAAATACATTCGCCAGTCTGCAGCAAGTCCACAATAGAATCATTAGAAGGAAGGCATCACAACAAATAGCAACGAGTATATTTTAAGGAGAATTGAAATAAATTTCTAATATACCTAATAAAAAAAACTTGACGTTAACACTTATATGATTTATTGAGTTAAAGACAGGCTGGGGAAAACAACGACTAACCTAACTAACCAACTTGTGTATATGGATAGAATAATAAGAACAGATAATATCGAGACTAACATTGCTTAAAACTACAAAAGATCAGCAGATGTAGACACCCGTGGTCGTCCATGTCCTTGGCGTATACAGCCTCAGAAAAAAGAATGCACGTAACGATTGTAATATCTTCTCGGTAATGATAAGATGGCAGAAATTATATGAGTTCAGCAGCTCAGAACAGATTTCTGATTTGATTTTCTTCTACATCATCTATGGTGGCCTACCTGTGTTAAAACATTTACCGAGGTACATGACAAAGAAAAGGTTTTAGACTATCCTGCATTTTTTTAAAAACACCTTAGAATTATATATTTTTGTCACTTTTAAAGTACAAAATAAAGTTTCAGTAACTACAGTGTATTTGCTTTTATTCTCACAAAAAATAAGCACTTACCTATAAAAAACATTATCATACAACAGCATCATATTTTGTTTTCTTCCATAAAACCACCACCTGTCTTAATAATTGCTTTACAAATTCTTAACAGTTTTTCCAGCAGGTTTTGGAAAAAAAAAGATAGCAGACTTTCCCAAGCATTATTCAAGCAGCGAAAAAGCTCAATAAACATTCTTTGAATATTCTCTTCCAACTCTCCTAATTCAATGGCAAAGAGGCCAGGAGAGTCAGTATCAAGGCTGTTGGTTGTTTTGTTTTATAATATATCAATCTCAGTTGGTTATTTAATGCCAACAAAATGTTGAAATAGTTTCATAGCGATAGTTTGATGAAAAAAAACAGGTTTGTATGTATATATATATATATGAACCGTTTTACAATTACTCATATTTTTGAGAAAACAATCCAACTTCTTTTAGGAAATTTAGTTTGTATTGCTGGTATTTGTTTTGTTGTTTTTAACTATTGCTGATATTAATGTTTCCTTCAAAAATTATTGCTGGTAATATCTTTTTTATTACAAAGTATTTCTGGTATTAAAACCTATTTCTACACAAGTTTGGGTGTTAACTCTTTATCCATAGCTGGGACACTAACAGATGCTACCACCCGGTGGACCTGAGAACACCAGCAATTAAGAGGTGGTTCCACACTCCTCAAAACCTCCTGATCAGAGGCCTTGCTGTTGAACGTTGTTTATTGTCTTACCCAGGACGCGGATGTAGTTTATAGTCATACTCAGGACGGGAAAGGATCAAAGAGAAGGACTAAAAAAGAAAAGCAAATACAATGTAGTTACTAAAATTTTATCTTTTATTTTAAAGAAATAAGAGGAATATCTCATTTTAAGGTGTTTTTTAAAGAAATGCAGCCTCCCGAATATTTTACCTGTAGTGCATCTGTCGATAAATTAGAGTGATCAGATTCATAGCCAATTTAAATTGTATCTGTAATGTTCATTAACGTTCGATTATATTCCCCACCACTGAATCACGTGCATTAAAAATCAGTAATTTTTTTAAAAATATTTTTACGTAAAGTAATGCTTTTGTTCATCATTAGTCTATGGATTTATTGGTGTTTATTTAGGAACAGAAATGTGGTCCTATGGAAGTATGCTGCGAATACCATAGACCGGACATGTGAGAAATGATGAAGATTTGGAAAAAAAATGGAAAACAAAAGGAAACTTATACTTAACACCAGCAAGAGATACATGAAATTTCTAGCGCAGATAATGAAGAAAGAGAGCTTGGAAAATATGAAACTCACATGATAGATTGAAAGTAAGAGGAACAAATGAAAACAATGCATAACCTACCAAGCCAGGAAATGGTTGACAGAATAGCGTTTAGGGGAGATAACAAAAATACAAAAATTATTAAAATAAATAAATTATAAAAGGTCAGGAAATTGTGAAGAGCCATGATCGCCTACGTTCCGAAGAGACACAGCATATAGAAGAAGAAGAAGAAGAAGAAGAAGAAGAAGAAGAAGAAGAATCTACATAAACCTTCCGGTTTCCATGAATGATGAGTCGGGAAATAAGTGAGAAGACACTTTTGACTATTCTATTAACAGTTATAGTTTAGCGAGAATAATTAAACAAGGATCCTTTCAAACATGATTGCGTTTTATGGCAACCATATACAGAACGTCAAAGATAGAGACCGACAAGCCGTGACGTTCCCAGATACACTAATTCAAATGACTGGCATAGAAAATATGGATGAAGTCAAAACAGCCATGATGGATCGGGACAATTTTCGATAA